TAATAAATTCATTGAAATTTAATTTAATTTTATATTTGTAACTCTAACAATAAATAAGTAAATTAAATACTAAATTTCGCAACTCCTCACTAATGATATCACGAGCGTGTCTTTTCTTAAGACGTGCATGATTGACTTTTTTAAAATTTTAGATCTATGCCTTTGCGTGTAATGAAAAAAAATATATATATTAAATTTCCGTGGCTCAAGCGACATTTCAGCTCTTTTTAATTACTAGTCTTGCACTTGCTTGATCTGTACATGTTGCTCTGGACATGCAATGTTCTAAATCTTGGCCGAGAGAATGTGGTCGATGCATGGTGTTGTTTATATTAAAACTAGATGCCCATGTCTCATATACAAGTATATTCATGAGTGTATATATATATATATATATATATATATTATGAAAACATAAATGAAATGATAAATCGAAGATACATACCGTAATAAGAGAGAGACCTTTTGTAACCCATGAGGTACTGCCGATGCCATAATTACTTATATCCGTTCTGTTACTTCCATGGATTTGCTCTTTTTGTAATTATGTAATGCAACCTATATATATATATATATATGTATATGAATTATATGCGTCGTAACGTGCATTTTTGTATGTAGATATATCTGTAATTTAAAAAAAAAAAAAAAAGAAAAAAAGAAAAAATCTCTAAGACAATAAAAAAGTAAAAAGTAATTATTTTCTGGATTAATTATAATCATCATCATCAACTTAATTTGTTAGTTACAGATTTAGACAGCAGAAGTAAAAAGTTGGTAAAGCAACTTTTCTTTTTTCTTTCTCCCTTGTCTGTGTGTTATTTATTCTCTCAGTCTATTTCCTTTATTCACGCCGCTTTCATTTCCCATTTCACAACTTTCATTTTCTCAAACAAAACAAAATCTTCACTGCTCTGATCCATCTGCAACTCATTCTTCATTTCTCTCATTTTACCACAAGACAAAATCAACAGAAGAAGAAGAAGAAACAATGGCTTCAACAGCTCCCACTAAGAAAACAACTCAATCCCACTTCTCTGCTCTTCTCCTCTCTGACTTTTTTCTCTTCTGCTCTTTCATCTTCTCTCACCCTCTCTACCTCTCTTACTTCATCTTCTTCTCCCCTTACCTCTTCAAGCTCCTCTCTTTCCTCTCCCCTCTCTTCATCACCACCTCTCTCCTCCTTCTTACTCTCTTCACCACTCTCTCCCCAACCCTCCTCCTTCACCATAAATTTACAGGAGATCATCTGTCCGACTCCAAGGTTGAAGATGACAATGGAGATCATTTCTTTGAAGCTTACAAGATCGTGTTTGAAGCATTCAGAGACAACCCAAATGAAGTTCCCTACCCTGAACACACTAGTGACTCCAAGACAGCAGTTGCAGAAACTGATGAAAATTACCAGGTTGAAGAAATTACAGTATCGAAGATGGATGAGCTGAATAATATTGTAGGAGAAAAGAGCTTACTAGACTTGTTCTTAGAAAGTCAAAAGTGCCAAAAAGAAGAAGAAGAAGAAGAAGAAGAAGAAAAAGATCAAGTCAAGGGGCAAGTAAGCGTGGAGTTCGATAAAGTTGATCAAGAAAAGCAACAAGAAGAGTTGGTGAGAAGAGAATCCAAAGCAGTGGTTAGCAATAAAACAAGCGCTTGTAATGATCTTGATCAACCCAAAATGAGGTGCAACAACGGCGAAGAGTACTACATTAGCACTCCGAAAGCTTGTGAGAAGAGTAATGATCAGACAAAAGGGTGTAATCTTGGGAGCTTTGGATCAATGAGGAAGGAGAAAGAGTGGAGGAGGACATTGGCGTGCAAGCTTTTCGAGGAACGACATAATGTCGATATCGGAGGAAGTGAAGGTATGGATTTGCTTTGGGAGACATACGACCAGACAGATTCAAGTAAAGTTAATCTATCAAAAAGCGGCACCAAGAAAGAGAAGAGTAGCAGCAGGAGGAGCAGGAGCAGGAGCAGAAAGGAGTACAACAACGGCGGTGTTGCGGAAGATGATTTAAGTGAGGAAGAAGGTGATGAAGAGGAGAGTGATGATGGGCAGCTGTGCTGTTTACAGGCTTTTAAGTTCTCAGCGGGGAAGATGAATCTGGGAATGGGAAGACTGAATCTCGTTAAGATCTCAAAGACTTTCAGGGGAATTGGATGGTTACACCATGTGAACAGGAATGGGAAGAAAGGTTACCACTGAATCAAATCATGATTAATCCTGGTTAATCTTCTTTTTCTTTTTTGTTTTTTCAATGTTTAATGGGCATAAAACAGATTCTCTCTATATATATATATGATATGTGTATTTACTCTTTTTTTGTAGTTTTCTTTTTCATATTCACTCTTTTTTATGGTTGCCCGGTTGAAAACTAAATATATGTAAATATGTGTGTGTGCATGTATAATAATGTGGGTGAATTTTGTGTACAAAGAGATAATTCACTCTCACAGTTGAACTTTCTTTTTAGGTCACAAATAAAACTCTTTTTAACAAGATAACAAGATAATCCCAAAATTACAAGTAATATATTTTAAATAATTTTATTTAAATTTTCAAATCTAAAATATTTTAAATTATTAGCATTTGATCATTCAACAAAATTAAGTGACTGTCAAAAAGAACACAATGAAGTGAAATTACGATCCTTTCCATTATATCATGCAATCATTTGTTTTGAAAAACACCAAAATGGAAGTTATAACTTTACCAGCCATGCTACCATGTCTTAAATCAATTTTACCATTTGATTGATAGCGTTGAATGGCTATTTTATGTCAAACTCAGATTTCCTTTAACTAAGTACCGTTCAATAAAAAGGTACGAGGACTTTGTATAAAAATTGTTTTCTCAATACACGCCCTAAATACCAACAGTTACTAAAATTTCGTTTGAAAATTATATAATATCTTAAGAAAGCAATATTCCATTTTCTACAGTTTTACACGCCCGGTAAGGGTGAACCAAAATTATGTAGCAGACAAGTACTGGAACCAGTCATTTCCGCTAAAAAAAAACCAAATGTGTAATTCATTCTTACAAGAACAATAACATGGGCCAGAGGGGGTGCTAAAATATAAAATCAAGAAAATATGAGGACTAATAACTCGCCATACATATGGCAGTAGTATATACTGTGAAAACTAAAAATTACCATCCCCCCCAAAACCACCAAAGCCAGCCACTCTACCAAAAACAAAATGGTGAAAACACCAATAGAAAATTCCCCTACGGAAGCTGTAGGTACCTCATCCTCAATAACATTCAAGACTTTCCGTCTCAATGCCTCCAACCAATCATGTGATAAAAATCCCTACACTACAAACACCAAAAATTTACCTTAATCCTCCTAACCATTCTCAGATGCACATTTTTTCCTTCAAGCTGGAGCAGAAACACGCGGTGCCACAGATCTAGCTGCCGCATTAACAGTCATCCCACCAGCACGGTTCATACGTCCACCATTGTCCGCCCTTTGATATCCATCACCTCCACGGTTAACAAATCCTCCTCTATTACTGCCTCTGTTATTATAGTCATTTCTATTACCAAAATCACCTCGATTATAACCTCTGCCACCGCCATAGTTTCCACGCCCTCTTGCTCCTTCATTTCTATATCCAGTCCCTACCCCAGATGAAGGTCGTCCTCTAGTATTCCCTGCAAACAAGAAACATTCACTTTCAAATAAATAATGACTTGTATTTGTAAATATGGAACCACATTAAACACGAAATAGTGAGAGGACGCCCATCTGCACCAAACCTGCAAAATATATTAATCCCCGTCTCTGTACAACCCCAAGTAAAAAATTCCAGGAAATTTTAGGCAACAGTAAAAGAGAATTTCTTTGGAGTTTTCTTTTTGTCCGCAACTACCGAATCAAATGTTACACGCTCCTTCACTTCTGTTCTTTGTTATGTAGCAATGTTCCTCTAATTTCTTAGAAGAGTAGGGGATGGCGGACATGTGGATGACGTTGACTAAACACATGTGTCATGATACTAGTTGTCGTTCTGAAAAGAATAATAAATTGAAAATTAACTAAAAGACAACTTGCCTCTGGATGTAGAACGCTTCTCCTCAACGACAGCTCTGCGTCCACCAATCATAATAGGTGAAGCCTGAAATGCCCACACAAACATCAATAACAAGAAAGATATTTTCTCCCACAAAAAAAAAAAACAAGAAAGATTAAACATGCACAAAAACTATTCACAGATTAAAGGACATCGAAACAAAGTGTCTAATGCTAGACTGTGATAGAGACTTAATTTGCCCTTTTGCATCCTCTACTTTACCAGTTAGATACTGGAATTAAATGCAAATCTGAATATATATTACGTACCACATCATTTTGACTATATATCACTCCATTTAGAATATAATTGTCCTTTTTTAAATTGGCAAATAATTGTTGAAAAGAAAATTATATTCTAAATGGAGCCAATAAAGAGTGATAAAGCATCACAAAAAACAGGGAAGCAAAATCAAAGTGATAACCCCTCATAAAAGGGGATGAAATGTTAATTTTCCTACAAGTCCATAGCAGATGGAACTTGCAAGAAAAGTATCAATCAGTCTTCAAGCATTCTGGAAAATCAAAAACAAAGATATGGGCACGAACAACTAGCAGCAAACTTATATTAGCAAAACTCCATGACAAGACTATGAGAGAACCCCAGATGTACATATGAAACCAGAAACAGTGTGGAACAACGATTTCCAAACCATCCTTGAAGCTGAAACTCAACAAGGTATTACATGCACCTGTCTACCAAATAGTTGCTGCTGAGCATATATATACATGCAGAAAGTACTTAAAACAAGGTTCATCTAGAATGTACGGCAGCAACATTTTACTCAATTTGCTTTCAAAATATTAGTTAATTACAACAAAAAAAAAAGACTTCCCAACATATTGCTGAATGATCACTACATTCCATGTCTCATGTCGGAACTGGGATGGTCCTAAAGTAATTTATATCATTTCCCTTAATCCTGAAAGGCAAGGGGCACAAAAATTCTTTTTTCTTGCATAGTTCCGCTTCATTTTCAGCTGTGATGCGTAGGAGAGATCATAGCATTAGGTCACAACTACACGCAAAAAGCTGTGCGAACCACGAGTATAAAATTTTACAAGTGACTACACTATGCTTAACCAAAGCCTCAATAATTAGGCCATGCAACTTCCAAGTGCAGAAGGCAGAAAACCAATTTGACAATGATCAAGTAAGCTTTGATTCACTTGACCCAAATTACCAGCAGAAAGACAACAAACTCTAGGACAGTAAGCTTTTTGGTATTTACCTCTATGGCACTTTGCACTGCACTTGCCACCTCAAATTCCACAAATCCAAAACAAAATCCCTGCCATCCAGCACATGGATAATAAAATATTAGTGGCAGAGAGACTTATAGAAAAAGGTAGGAATTGGAAAGTTCAACATCTACCTTCTGGCTCCTGACTTGAATTCCACCATTCCTAATAGGACCAAACTTTCTGAATTCATTCTCAAGCATGGCAGGAGTGGCATTTTGAGGCAGACCTTTGACGTAAATAGATGGGCCCTCAGCTGTGCACAAGAAGTACACATGATAAACTAATCATATGTCAAAACTACAAACATATACAATAATTCAAGAAAAGAATGATCGCACACCTTCACCATCTTGGTTGTTTCCATTCTCAATGGCAGCAACTGTGCTTGAAACTGGGATCTCCAACACAGAAACTGGGGGTGAAGCAACAGCAGTTTGCTGCTCTTGGCTCTTGGCTACAGACTTAGGAGGGAAAGAAGCAGTTGACAAAGGTGCAGCATTCTCCTTCATAACCTTCAACTAAGCAGAAAATTTAAGTAAATCAACAACATGAAATCCAAAGACTACAGAAATATATAAAGATAAATTATCAAGTGCACATCTACCTGAACGAAACATCAATAGCTAAAGCAAATAACATGAATAAATTTGCAGAAAAAATGCTAATTGCAGGATGGAAGCTTACAATGGAGGCATATGATTTCTTAGGCACTTCTTCAACCTTAGAGCTAGATTCAACAACCATTGGTGAATCATTAGGAACTTCATCAACAACCTCGGGTACTGGAACTTCCTCTTCTATGATTGAGCCATCTCCATTTTCTGATGGATTATATCTGTCCTCTCCATTGACATCCTCTGAAAAGTCAGCTTGTTGCTCAGAAATGTGATTCTCTTGCACTGGAGATGGATCTGAGGTACATTAAAATGCATTATCAATTACTGGGTGCCAAACTACAAGACAAATTAATGCAATTTTTATTTCCGCTTACCCTGTTCAGGAGTAACAGGAGTTTCAACATTATCAGCAGGACACTCATTTTCATTTGGGTCTTTGGTACCATCAACATATCTGAACATGTCATTCAAGACAAAGTAGCCTTTGTCTTGAGGAGCAAGGAAAAAGCTCTGAGTAAATTTCCGAGTAACACTGTCTTTTCCAGTCAAATACCCAGTCACCAGAACAAGAACTCCTCCATTGTAAGATTCTTGAGCATCCACAGTTGTTATCTCTGCATTGAATTCTCCATAATCAAGTGACAGAATTTTCTCATTGATAGCCTGCTCCAGAAAAGCCAATCAATTATTAAAAAGCTATGGCATACTTCCAATTCTAATACTCCTTAACTGCATATATCAAACAGTGTAAGGAGAAGCAATAATGGAACCAGTTATATGAAACCAATTAAAAGGAAATATACGAAAATTAGTTTCCATGCACAATGTCATTTCATTAGCATTCATTTAGTTGCTGTATACTATAATGTTTTACTCCAATGTTTCATTTTGACTTGATTACTTGAGTAATGAGTATACAGTCAAGTTATCCATACTGTCAATCATCCTGCAAATTTTTTAGCCAGGTTTGCAAGTTGGGAAGAGGACTGAAGGAGAGAGAGGGGAAGAGAGAGAGAGAGAGAGAGAGAGCTCACTTGCATGGTCGTTGTGATACCCATGGCCCCATTTTCTTCAGGACGACCAAGCTTACTGATATCTTGGTAAAATCTGTGTACGAGCTCGGGCGATTGATGCAGGATAAGGTAGTACTGATGAACAAAAGCATTTCCAACCTAAATTCGCCAGAAATACAATAAAAAACAACAAAGTTATCAGATACATCAACACCAATCTGCAAGCTATATCACATCCACAACTGACGACGTACAATATCAGGCGAGCAAGTTGCCACCGGGACTGTCTGTGCTGCTGATGCCATTACTGAGAAATCGCTGCAGATCAATGAAAACGCAAATGTAACACTAATCTCGTCTGAGAAGTAGATGCACAAAATAGCCAAGACATTTTCCGCTAAATCAAAAAGATATTAATTTCAGAAAACACTAAAAAAGAGGAAGAGAATCCGATTAAAGTACTTGTCTGATAATGAAAAAGAAAAGAAAAGAAAATTAAAGCTTAAAACCACAATTTCCAGGAGCTTCTGCTTTCCAATAAGCTAACCACAACCAAGTAGCAGCTAAAAATATCGCGATCGAGCATGAACAGTTAGAGTAAGCAAGAAAAAGCAAAGCGAAACAAACAGAGACCGAAATCCAGGATCCATCAGGCATAGACGGAAAAAAAGTAGTTGACAGAGATGAGCAAATAAATAAAACAGCACGTTCAAACCTGGACTATAATTTCCGAAATCAAATTGTATCTTCAAAACTAGAAGACACTACTTACGTTCGAGAAAAAATACTCCTATTTCTCCTATTTCCTACAAAATTTTCCATTCAAACAAACAAAAAAGTAAAATATCTAGAATTCAAGAAACACTGATCTGAGTAGTAGAGTGAAGCAACAGTAGATTCACAGAAGAGGAAAGACTGAAGGAGCTTGCCTGATAAAACCTAGATTCGGATCGCAGCGACTTAGATTGAGAGTTGTTATAAGATTGTGATTTGTGTTTTTCTCTCACCTCCCTTTTGCTCGGTTTGGCGCTTTCTAGGGTTTTTCTGGATCTTGAAGAGGTGCGAGAATGAGGGAGGAGAGAGAAGGAGAGAAAGAGGGTTTTGGGGAGGGGGAGGCCTTATATTTGACAGGGGAGCGAGAGACCTTCTATCATGCAGACGGTGGTCTTGTCAAAAGGTGATTTTCTTGCCCTAATTATTTAATTATTTCAAATTTATTTTACTAAATCGAATAAAAATTTAAATTATCTTATTTTTATTTTCTATAAAATATTTTCTCTTTTATTATTTATTAATAATATAAAGCTACATTAATATTTTTCAATTTTCGCCTAAAAATTAAATTACTTATAAATTATTAATTGTTTAATCTAATTAAAGATTATTCACATAATTAAGGATAAATCTTTTGTTATTTTTCTTGATGGACTAAATAAAATTTAGTAATACGTTAAATAAAATTAGTATCATTATATTCAAAAGACAAAATAAAATATTCCCAATTTATTTAAATTAAACTTATATTAATTTTTTTATAAATACAAAATTAATTATTAATAAATATTTCTCTAAACAAAAATATAATATAATTATTAAAAAAAATTTAATTTAATCATTATAATTTTATTAATACATTATTACATTAAATTTTTAATCTCAATAAATTATATATTATTAATTTAATTTAAATTTATAATTTTTAAATAAAATAGGTACAACCACGTAACTGAATATGGGACTTCGACAACGACCCAAAACAGTTGCTTTATTTTTAGTGGACAAAACAATCATGCTCAGTATTTGACAGTGACCCGTGGTAAAAGTTAAAAGTACACTTGGTAAATGGTAAAAATAAACTAACCATTTATTACGTGGTAAATAGCAGATGGTAAAAATTGCAAAAAGTGAAAAAGCTATTTTTGGTAATTTTGTTGGGGGGTAAAAAATATCCAGACATCGAAAAGACGTTGAAGAGTGTAAGAAGGTTGTGAGGTTCTGAAGAATTACTGAAGTAACATAATGACCACTACAGAAAACAAGACATATATACATATATATATATATTGTTCGGTTATGAGTGTCTCAATTTTTAATTGCTTTATTTTATTGAACAAATAAATGTAATGTAATCATTTTTTAGGTGGTTTATTACCTAAGTATTTATGTCACTTATAATTTGTGACATGGTTATTGAGTTATTTATTATTTATAATTAATTCGATAATTATTTAAAATTTTTATTAAAAAATTAATTTAAATTTCTAGTTTATTATAACTAATTCAATTACATAATATAATATTTATTTTATTTATGTACATAATAAATTTAACAAAGTTTAATTCAATTTAGTCATGACGTAATAAATATATTAATAAATTAAATATTAATTTTATTAAATTAAATATATAAGTTAAACATTGTCGATTACAACTAAAAAATTATAAATTTTAGGTAATTAATGAATTTTAAATTAATAATTTTAAAAATAAAATATATAAATTTTGATTATTATAGTATTGTATTATTAGTTAATGTGTATTTATATCAAACTTGTGTATTTATTGTAAGAATTTGTAATTTCAAGTACATAATTATTTTATTACACTATAGTGTTATTTTAAAAAAAATGATTTTAAATTAATGCAAGGTTTAAATTGCTTAAAAAGAAATTTAGCTTGCGAAAAATGTAACATATTTATATGAAATCTAAAATTAATATTAATGTCAACTAATTTTATTGTATAGATTTATATTATATTTATTATGTAACAAATTGTATATTATCCGAAAGCTCTCTATATAAAAGCTTCCATTTTACATCAAAATATCATTGAATGAGACGACGCCGTTCCACTTCTCTTTGGGTTTCGGGACCCCAATGTAACTGGGCTTTAGAATTTTCTGGAACGGCAGAGTCGACCCTTTCTCACATTCTTGCATGGAAAGAAACCTTCCTGTCAAACCTGAGACCTGAGCAGAGTTGAGAACTGAAACCGCGCGAGTCACCAGTCTATACCGATGGCGCCTGCTGCAAGCTGCTACCACCATAACCCTTCTCCTGTTCTTGCCCCCATCGGGGCCTCTCGCCGGTACGTGCTTTTTGCTATTCTATTTTGGTGAATAACGCTGGATGGATCATATGCGAGCTGTGCTTTGTGTTCGTATGTTAGGTTATTGTTGGATAGAACTCTTGAAGGGTACTTGTTCGGTTAGGGTGAACCTGAGAGAAAAAGAAAATTTAATTTTGTTTTAGGGTTTTGGCCACCCTGGGGTTTTTGCTTGTCTCTGTTCTTGGATTGTTATATTATTTTATCATTTTACTTATTTTGTGCATTTCCAATTTCCCCTTATACTATTTGGGATCTTCGTTGTTAGTCTGTTTTTAATCTGATGAGACTGTCATTTTAGAGAGCAAACAACAGCCAGCAAATGGGTTTGGTCAAGATCTCATTTTGTTTATAGTTTTTGGGTTGACGATTAACATGTTCCATTTCAATTCAAGATTTTTGCCTGGGATTTCTCTGGTCGAATAATCAACAATTCTGGTGCAAATCAGACTAAAAAAATATCTTTATTGGGTTAGTTTTCATGCAAAATTTGCGAATAAAAATGAGAAGGATTAGATGGAAGAGGTAAGGAAAGAAAATGAAAATGAGTTGCTGACTCTGAATGTGCAAATTATGCCATGCTATAAGGAAATTGCT